AATGACAAAATGTACAGTCTTCTGATTGTCTTTTCACTTTCTTTCTTTCGGTAGAATGAAATATAAGGAGATAACGATCATCAGTTTAGTTCAAAAGACTAATGAAAGATACCAATCGGGAACAGAGCACCCAGGGGCCTCTAAACATCAGAGGTGGGATCAAGTGTCCTGGGAGCGTGAGCTTCCTTACTGACCGGTCACACCCGCCGTATGCTCCTTGTTATGTTCGGCAAATGCCTAAAAGATCCGTTGACAATTTGTATAAAAACGTCAGTCGGTATTTGACTAAACGATAGATCGTATTTGCTGGGAAGATCATTGTATCAGCCACAGAAGGCATAAAATAATTCTTGTCTATCAATTTTTGTCAACATTGTATGATGTGAAAAGTTTCAATTATTTCATTTGCTGAAATACTGATCAAGGCAAATGAGGTAATTTTCTACCGTACTAATTTTCGGACGATTAAACATTTTTAAAGATTTCCCGATAAAAAAAAATTAAGGAATGAAAGGGGGAATTGGCAATGAATGGACTTAATTAAACTTTAACCTTTCATGACAATTATTAAAAATGTAATCATTTATTCACGATCAGTCGCGTTAAAAGTCGACATTTCGTAACTTCTATGGTCGAGAAAATGACTTTGTCAGGAAATACAATCTAAGTCAAATGTTGACTGAAGTATTCATACTGACCAATTTAAGACCGTTACATTCACATTGAATTGTCGACTGTTTCTTTTCTTTATTTCCCAATCATGACGAGGGGCACACGGCGGGTGTGACCGGTGTCGCATAATATTTGGTCCGCCTCGTTTAAAGGTCCGGCCGGACCTAATACGATATCATATTTGGTCCGCCTTTTATAAGAAAAGGTCCGGCCCGTATAAGAAATGGTCCCCCTGCGTTTTAAGGTCCGGGTGGTGCAAAATGTTTTAATCTTGACTTTAACATATGAAATTAAGGCTACCGGGTAGTTTGTTTATACTATATGATGAAAGAAGGATTAACCCTGTTGTATTTTACTTTTTTGTACAACATACAAGTATCTCTAGACAAGAATCTACTCGTATAGTGTGCTTTAAGCAGTGCCGTTTAGGGCCATGATTTCTTTAAAAATCATGCCACAATTATTTTGCAAATGTTTGTTTTTCCTTAGAATTTGTTTTTTGTAAATTAGTACGATTAAAGGTGTGAAATCTGTCGATGTGTATAGCTACATGTAATAAAACAATGGGTGTGTGACGTATTTGTTTACCTGACAGGTACCCACCGTACCCACAGGTAGAGCCCGCGGCAGATGGCGCTGTCATTGAATGGTCGGTGAACCTAATGGTCATGTGTTAGCTTTACATATTAATAGATCTTATTTTTTAACTAATAAATTATGCCAAGGATCCAAATATTCAGGCGTACACTTCAAAACTGCGACATTTGTAATAATTATAACCCTACATGTATAATCTTTATTTGAATATTTAAAGCTAAATATAGCGTATCTGAGCTAAAAATTAAAAATACAAGATTAAGCGTAGATGTACATGAGTTTGGGTTTTTTGTTCAAATTAAAAATTTCACCGATATTGAACTTAAATATCCCCACATTTCTATGAGTTAAATTTAAACTAATTGAATTAAAACTGTGTCTGATATTTAAATTCCGAGTCGATAAGAATCGGCCATTGTTTTAAATCTCGGATATCTATGAAACGCGATTGATTTAAATTGTTTGATTTTCATAAAATGTTTCAATCTGCGTTCCATATCGGATTTTTTTTTTTTGGTGTTGAAATATTAAACTTTTTATTTCGACATTTTAAGCTTTCATTTTCGACATTCTAAAGTGTTCATCTCCGACATTTTTCAGGAATTTAGTGCTTTCCGGTAATGAAAAATTTTAAAGAATAAATTATAGACTGTTTAGTAAATCAATGTTCGGCGCAGTCTTTGACATTTAATTTAGTGAACATTAAATGCGATGAAAAAATTGCATGCTCATTAAACTCTGTTAACTAGACTTAGTGCTTCATGTACAGTTGTATATACATGTATACAGAACTTTTATATCAAAATGTTGTGTATAATAAATTCTTTCAAAATTCCATTTCTACATACATGTACCTGGTAATCATAAAATTGCCGGAGAGGTACCTTGCAAAAATTCCAGAAATGAAAAGAAATAAATGTCAGAAAAGGAAAGACAAATTGTCGGAAATGAAAAAAAGAAATGGCGGAAATGCCATGCCGATTTCCGGAAATGAAATGCAGCGGTCCTATCTTTACAGTGGTGTGTAAAATACCAAAACAAATAAAAAGATCTTTTTTTTTATATTTTTAGTCTGAACTTATATATAAAAAAAAACGCCTTATATGACTTTAAAGTTTTTAAACGCATTTCATATATTTTCATGTCATAAAGTGAAATTTTTTGACTGGGTTTATTTTCGTAGCTTGAAAACTAAAAAAATAGACAGGGTGGACCTTAAAACGCAGTTACAGAAAAGGTCCGCCCTCTGTATTCCAGATATTTTTATACTATAAAGGGAAAATTTTAGACAGGGTTTATTTTCTTAGCTTGAAAACTAGAGAAAGGAATAGGGCAGACTTAAAACGCAGTTATCAGAAAAGGTCCGCCCTTTATATGGTGTACAATGTCGGTATACTTTAAAACTTAAAACTTTTTTGACAGGTATCTGCGTGATTTTACTACACTCAATTACCCCCCCCCCCCCCAAAAAAAAAAAAAAAAAAAAAAAAATTTAGGAGGGGGTATAAAATGTTCGGATTTTTATTGAAACCGAAACCGAGAGACATAAGTATAAATAATATATCATAAATGTAGTGCACAGAGATTTTATATGAGCAACATGTATATTAAATATGAAAAAAATAAAGGCATTTATAAATCCAGCAATTTATCGACTTCATTTGGTTTGATTTCGCCAATTAATGCACATTTACCTTGTCCCGGAGTAATATTTAGTAGGCCGCATTTCATTTCCGGAATTTCCTGAACTTTTCATTTCCGACATTTTTAAGTTTTTACATTTTAAAAGTTTTCATCTCCGACATTTGTCAAATTCATGTCAGTAATTTTTCGTAAATGAAAAAAAGAATTCATGCATCCGTTATAAAATACTTAAGGTAAAATATTTTAGATAATATATTCAAATAAAAGACTTTGCTCTTATCTGTCAAAGAAACTTAATTGATTTTACCCTGGAACAGATGTAGGTACATGTATTGTGAATGTGAAGTTTCACTTAACTGATTCCTTTACTTATTAACTAGTCTTAATATTGTTTACTTCTACTACTACTACTACTACTACTACTACTACTAGAAGTAAACAATATTAAATGTTAAATTTAAATTGCCGTAAAGGTATCCTAAAAAAAAAATCCGAAAATGTGAAAAAAAAAGAAATAAATAATGTCGAAAATGAAAATAAAATTGTCGGATTCCGAAATAATAACAAAAATTGTCGGCAATTTTAAATTCAGAAAATGAAATGCAGAGATCTAGTAGATATAATAATTAGCCTTTGAATAAGTAAGAAACAGTGTTAACTTATAAAAACGCACGGGATAGGGTACTTTAGGTTTTCTCAAACGAAACAATTATAGACTAACCCCTAACTGCCCAATCCGTAGGCATGTTGTTTTTACAATAAGGGGTGTAGGGTAGTACACCGTGACATAAGCCCCTGTCACAGCTAGTGACCCTCTAGTTATTTACAACAATATTAAACGTAAAGAATGACAGATTTCTTTTATCAATGCTATAAAGATATATATTTTGAAAGATGTGAACTTCAGTTTTTGTGAGTGGATTAGTCAAACGTTTATCATGTTTATAGGAAGGAGAGTGTAACTAAATGATTCGTGTTGGACTAACGAACATTTTTCTGTTCATGCAATACTAATTAATTAATCTGCCAGTAAACAAGACGGTAAAGGTAAATGTTTGTACATTTGTATTCTTAATATTTTTTTTATGATAATGTTGACATTAGTGTATTAATTTAAACGACAAAAGAAGCATGTCCCATCTTCCCGACAGGAAACCCGATCAATAATTAGAATCTAAACATTCCTTTAATTATGTATTAATTTCGATTTCTTACTTATTGTTTACTACATTTTCTAGGAGAAAACACTAGCTATACTATACATATACTTAATTAATTTTAAAAGAATAGTTTTTCAATTAATATCGAATGAACCACATGCATACAATTTGTATAAAAGACCGAGGGCGGACCTTTTCTTATAGAGCCAGGCGGACCAAATATGTTATCGTATTTGGTCCGGCCGGACCTTTAAACGAGGCGGACCAAATATTATGCGACACCGGTCGTTGGAAAGTGCTTATTCCTCCATGGCACCTGAACACACCTCTATTGTTTTCGAGATCTGTGTTTGTTCTGCTTCCATTTTGATTTGTTTTTTGGACTTTTTGGCTTGAATACTGTTCCTTAGATCCATATATATATATATATATATATATATATATATATATATATATATATATATATATATATATATATATATATATATATATATATATATATATATATATATATATATATTATAAAAGAAAAAGAAAATGAAGTTTCCAAATTTCATTTAACACAAATCAATTTATGTACACCTGAAGACGGATTATGAGATCAGAAAGCTTGTGTTAAATGAAATTTGGAAACATTTTCTATAATTATATATATATATATATATATATATATATATATATATATATATATATATATATATATATATATCTAAACACTTTTCTATTTGCTCATAAACATAAGAGTTTTTTGCACTGTATTTCTGTATTTCAAATCATATTGCTAATGTCTTTAAAACCCTTGTGAAAAAATATCAGAGTTAAGAAATGCTAAAGAATAATACGGACTGGTACGAGTATGTTTGAGTGTCAGTTTACTGTTTAAGATTGTTGGTAAAGACGGCTAAGGTTTTTGAAAAAAAGCTTAAGTCAAATATATATACACTGAATGGCCTCTTTGAACGTACCATATGTCTTGAAGTCAAGCACAAATCTTCCTTTAAACAATAAGCAATCGTCTTCGTTGAATGCTTTTAAATCGATGTTTGCGTGTCCTCTGTCATCTGAAAGATGACGTCATAATTTACCCAATTAGTCTAATAAACATTTTTTAAAAAAAGTAATTTCATCTAGGGTGGTTCAATTAAATGAGTTTATTTTTATCATCAGCGGAACAATAACTATATAATGAAGTATTTACAGACAGCTTTCTGTCAGTACTACATGTATGAAGTTTCTTCATTTATTTTATACACAGTGATTTACAATTCAAGATATAAACAACAAAACGTGATTTATTGTGACATAATACAATACTTCAATATATTTGTCTAACTTACTGTCATTTGTGGTGAGATTATCATTCCGCTCAAGAAGATTTTGAACTGTACTTTCACCATAAGACGTTTCCATGCCTGAGAGGAAAATCTTTATTGCTTCATCTCCTCTATGTAAGACCAACTTTAAAAACTGCAAAGTTTCTATCCTACAGCTTTTGCTGCTCTTGTGGATAAATTCCAGTTCTTCTGGTGTTATTATCCCGGTACTCAACAGAGGGGTTTGAATTGCGCGAATCCTCACTATATCCAGTAACTCCGGTAAATTGTCCAAAATATTCCCTTTGACTTGATTAATGTCTGGAATGTTAAGAATGTTTCTTTGTGAGTTTCATAAAACACAAAAAGAGGAATATTTGCTGTTTTGACTCAAATACTGTAGAATTTGTGATAGCTCAATAGCATTGTTTATATGTAAGTTGGAAGTTTTAGCTAGATATTGTGTTATTAAATTGTAATTCATGTGGATGAAGGTTATCGTTATCGTAGTTCAATTAAATGAAACTTTATTTTGTGGAAATGGATGCTCTTTCCTTTTTCTTTGAACAAGGAAAAGTGTAGTAAATCTTTAATTCCTGGTAATAAAAGAAGAATGGGTGTTTTACTTTATTTCACAGGAATTTATCCTAATGCATATTAAATGATAGTAGATACTTAAATCATTTAAATGGAAAAGTATTAATTTTTAATTTTCATCGATTTTAAGAACAAAGTCTTCATTACCAATATCCTGATATTTCGCTGTATCTGGAAACAATTGATTATAAATGTATTTGTTTTTCTCCTTCAGTTTTTCTACAACAACTTTAATTTTCTCCTCAGACTGATTTGTGAGATATTCCAAGAAGGCTTTAACTTTGGTCGATCTCAGGCCTGCTCTGTTTATCTTCTCCAAAACTGGATGAAAAATATCGGCAACTTCTCGTTCTTTCAGTAAACATCGTGGCTCTAGTTCCTCCAAAAGGAACTTGTGACATCTCTCCAAACGCGACTTGTACGTATTCCTGGACGGTTCTATTGATTGCATGATATCGGGGGTGTATTCTGGAATTCAAAGAACACTTTCTTAGTTATGTTAATAAATGTACAAAATGATACGTTAAATTTGTTGTAATTTCCGTGAATAAAAAGAAAATTGAAGTTTCAACACAAATTTTTCAGACTGTTAATTATTTTTTTGTATTCGTTTCAACGTTCTGGAAACCTGCTGGATCTTTGGCTTCTCGGATCTGAACCTCAATGCTGTACTTGTCTTTCTTCAAAAGCATCCAAACCTCTTTTGATCCAAATAGCTGTGTCAAAAATGTGGAAATACCCTCCCTCTCTAAGAAATGTTTTAATTTTGTCATTGCGAAGGTTGACTCTGTTTGAAGAACAATAACAATAGATCCTAACGATGCTTTATTAAAAGTAGAGTGTGTTCCTTGAGCGATCATTTCCTCTGAGTTTGAGATTTCTTCTATCACTTTCTCAAACACTCTTTCATTTCCGTCATCACTGGTGATTATCATTTTAATTTTCCTTATTTCAATTTTGGAAGCTAAAACATTATTTAAAAAATAGGATGTACTTGAAAAGACGCCAAAGTAGTTTGTGTTGATAATTATCATCTTTTAACATTTTAAAAACATGACTGAAAAGTTATATTCTTTGCGATTCTGTTATAATGGTTCTTTTTTTCCTTAAGGTAGGATTCTTCTCACATTTCTTGTATTTAAAAATTAATGAAATTTTCACAGAATCAAGAAGAGAATATCACTAAGTGATGGTATCAGTGAGATTAAATTTGACCGTTTAATATTAGAGGCAAGGTCAGGTCAAGGTCATTACCTTTTTCCTGGACATGAAGAATAAAAAAATTACTGTTTCCAATCATGCGAACCCTACTTACAATTCAAAAGATTGAATGTTTTTCTTTTTGCATAAAAAGATACTATCGTATAGGGCCTATAAGATGATATTACCAAATAGACATGGATAATTTAAATAAAATGGATATTTGGTAATCCGAATTTCCTCTACTTTTCTTAAATTTTTAGGATTTATTAGTTATTTTTATATGCTTCCTATATTTAACTTTTTCCAATTTTCACATATAGTAAAGTTGTCACATTAAGGTACAAAATGATACAAAAACTAAAAGTTCTGATCGTTTACTAAAAGAGAAATAACATATTTTACGAATTTTTGGCTCAAATCTGTACTTAGATTTGAAGCATTTAAAAGCCAACATAGTTCTAGTATGTGTGAAAAATCTTATTGATTTGATATATTTTGAAACTTTAGTCCCTTATTATTAAGTTAACTTACAATTGAAATTTCGTCTAGTCTTTGATTGCTTAAAAATTATAAGTAAATTCAATGTTCTATAATAATTTTGAGAGCCAGAAAAGAAGATATTTTCGTACGCCACCATTCCGCCAAAAATATAGTCCTTGCTATTTTTCAAACGCAGTTCACCATTTCTATTTAAAGTTGTATAATTGTGATGAGGAAAGAAAAATATGGTCTTTTAAATCTCTTACATCTAAATATATATGACATATCAACAAATGTACTTTGAATATTCCATCTAGTCAGAAACCAGAGAAGAATCCTAACTTAAATGTATGCATTTAGATGATTAAAGTAATTAAAATTAAAAATTGGAATACCCATCATAGAACAATGCATATCACCGCCAACAAATTCAACTTTCAATTGTTCCTTGTTTTCTGCAAAGAAAAGGGTCTGTTACATTTATATGGCATCACTTTTTTCATCATTAGTCGAACATCAATAATTTAATACTCTCCAATCTCTTTTTTTTTCGTTAAATCTTTTACATAAATCTATTTAAGAAATAAGGTATTATTTTTAAACATCTATCGGGCTATAAATACGGGTAGGTCACGAGATTAAATTCCATAAAGCCAGAAGGGCTTTATGATGAATTTAATCTCGTACCAACCCGTATTTATAGCCCGATAGATGTTTATAAATAATACCTTATTACTAATATTTACATTTGTGACTTATTCACAGTAATATTTGCCTGATTGTGACTTTTAACGTGTGAAATGCATTATTTTTCAAGCCCAAAGCATGTATGTAATCCACTGAACGCGTGTCGACCCTTTATGACGTTACAAAGAAATTACGTCGAACGTTTATCTATACGCACATATATGACCTCTTGACCCCGTACCTGTATTTATACAGCTATGGATACGCATTGCTTTCAGTAGTGTTATATAAAGGAAAACATTTGCAAATGTAAATATATTGCTATATAACCTGTTCTTTCCAAGTCCAAAACATCACTGTCTATCTCTCTTAAAAGACGATCACCAAGGTCGTTTAGTTTATGTCCTTTGAGGATTGAAATCAGTTTAAGGAATGATTCGGGTAATTTGCTTGATATGTTTTCCAGAAGCAAATTCGCAGCCTTGGATTTCTTTATTTCGGCCGATATTTCTTTATGGTCATCCACAGACAGAACATCTTCCTCTAAGAAATCGTCAACAATGCTGTCACTTTCATTCGATATCCTCAGAATTATTTCTTTAAGAAGTTCATCCTTATTTCTGTCCAGAACAATGCCCAAGCTAGGGGAGTGAAGAACTAAAAGAAAAAAAATAAATTTATTGTTTAGATACAGAACTATATTTCTTCACGAAAATTATATTCTGAACAGTTAAGTTTGTATCCATTTTCAAAAGTTAGTCGTACATACGTGTACATATTATTTCATTTGTACATAATATTTGTTAATGCAAAGTAATATAAAAATTCATTAAAGTTAAAAGACTTACTTAAAATCAAATGCATGTATCTACATGGATGATTCAAATATGTATATATTTATCGAATGTTAAAAAGAAGATTTCACAAATAATAATGATTACTAGAACACCTTTTTCAACAGTGGCTGGATTCCTCCTTGCTCTGACTTCAGAGTTGGGCCACGGAAGCGATAGAAAACAATAAAATCCCTCTTCTTGAGGATTACATTTTATTATGCTTTTGAGTTCTCTCAAATGTTTCGGATTCTGTAACAATTTACACAAAATAAAGTCGCATTTCGTTGCTCGAGGTTTTCCCATAAGAAAGGAATTTTCGTCTGTATTTAAGATGTTGTGCTGTACTAGATAATCTACAATGATATTCGGTTCCAACTGTTGTTTAAGAAATTTAAAGTTCCTTCTTATGTGTCGAGTTTCTAATATGACTGTGTTCTCTGGGTATCCATTTTCCGCTCTGTCAAAGAAAACTGAACCGTTTCCTGTACCCGCTCCGAAAGTTGATTCCTGGGAAAAAATATGTATTTTATCTATTTTATCGTAATTGCAATAACTAACTGACACTTAACTTATCTTGTAAAGGATGAAAATATTTTGCAATGTTTTGTAAAGGATGAAAAATGAAGATAATAAAATAATCAATCTCATTTTAAATACATTTTTTTGTCAACAAGACTTAAAATTCAGAACCCTAAAAACTCAAGACAGACGTTAGATCAAGTGCTTAGAAGAAAAAAGCATCCCATGTTGACAGTTAACCTCCCACATCAGCCTTCTCTTAAGTTGGATGTTTTTCTTAAGTTAGACTGAGTCAAATAAAGTATCATTACGATGAATTTATAATTTGTATTACTTTTTATAATTGATTTAATTACAGAATGTGGCATCTACATCCAGAACACGTGTCCACGTGTGTGTGACCGGTCAAGAGGGGTAATTAATTTCTACTGAGTACCTTATCTAACCTCTAAAATTTCCGTTTTTGATTAACTTGACAGCATATCAACAAAACAAATAGATATAAAATTACTCTGAGCATAGTCGTTTGGCAGAAGAACGAAGGAACATAAATTTATTTAAAAAATACTTCTATATGAAAAGAAGAAAACACTGCAACTTGACTCAGATATTTCAATTACATTTTATAGTTAACAATAGCAGATTTTGTTTATAATTCGACCCAATGCATTCAAATTAATTTTAAAAGATGATAAAGACTGCAGCACCTGTTTCATATTTGAATAATTTAATTCTGGTTGTAACGCTGTATTTGATTGGATAAAAAATTACTTTATATCGTATAAAATGGGTTGCCTACGTCACAATGACTTGCGTCAAAAACGTATCAATCCGCCTGACGTTACATTAAAATTTTGTACAACGTGAAGTCATTTTGTTGGAACAATCATCTTTTTTTCTTACATTAAATGAATGAAAATTAAATTATAAGCAATGAATTAATAGCTTCCCATTTTATACGGTATAAACTGGGTTGGAACAGTTTACGCTTTTTTATAAACCGCTTCGCTCTCACTCGCGCTTCACGGTTTATAAAAAAAAGCGTTAACTGCCCCAACCCAGTTTATACCGTATAAAATGGGTAGCTATTAAATTCATTCCTTAAATGTGATACTGATTGAAGGTAAAACAGTCAAAAATTAAATCAATTAAACTGTATAACAAAAACACTTACCGCAGCTTTTTTATCGTCAACAATATATTTAGTGATAATTCGACAAAATTGACAAAAAATATATAATCTGTTATAAAACTGCAGGTAATGGTAATTACCATACATATTATTTTAGAAAAGTGCATTGATAATAAAACAAACAAGCATTGCAAATTTTATTCCTATTAAATGAAATGAGTAAAATGGAAAATGTTTATGTCATAACTTACCTCAAGACATAACATTTTGATACTCAACCTTCAACATTTGGGGGCACTCCACTGGTATATCCTGTAAATGATAATAAGTCTTTAATTTAAATCCTTTTCCAATTGACAAAAGGAAATATGAAAGATAATTTAACATTATTTAGAGCTGGAATAAATAAAAATATTGAAGAAAGCTTCATATCTTGATTGTGTTTTGTAGTGAATCGGGGGTGTTGCAAAGTTAAGGGAATCATGAACCTCTTTATTTTCCGTGGATGAAAAGCTCCAAGACTGCTATTGGAATTTCAAAACTCAAAATATAATCAAAATGAGATTCAAAGGATTTTTAGTCGTAAAAAGCTATTAAACAATTGTGCAGAAAAATATTTTTAATAATGCCAATCATAAGTAGATTTGCATGGTTAAAAGAGTAATTTGATTAACTAGTAATGATCAATTTTTTCCGTCTAGATTTATTTTCTATAAACCTTGCGGTCACAATAAGGCAGTGGCTAGAGTGTTTGTTCTTTATCACGGTGTAAGGAGTTGACATTTGAGTCTTGAATTTGATCCTTGCATTGCAGGTTCGAAGTTCACAGGTTCACAGTGCAAGACGGACAAACCAGTCCTTTTGGATGAGATGTACGAACGTATAAACCGAAAACCGAGTTCAGTCCTTTTTCATCAGTGGTAGCATCGCAATATGAGAGAAAAATTCTAGAAGGGATGCCCCCCCTCAAAAAAAAAAAAATCTTACAAGGTCACAACGAAGAGCTCACGGCGGAGGTGAGTGGTTGACATCAGATGCTTATTCCCTCATGGCACCTGTTACCACTTCTGTTTTCAAAGGTCTGAATTGATAACAGTTTAAATGAACTTCGTTCAATTTTGTTTGTTATTATCATATATCTTTCATTTACTATAGACTAATTGTAACCCAGTTGGTATTTTTAACAATGAGAACATTGAGCAGTGAGGTGTTTCCCCTTTTGAAAAACCTTTATTTGATTATGTAATACATAAATAGGTAAGAAATATCTTTAAGTTTTTGGTACGCAAGAATGGGTAGCAGGTAATTATACAGAATTCTAAGCGTATTCTATCGGTATATTATTTCCAACCAATGAATTGTAACAGGATTTAACATGTCATTGGAATGTAACAATGCATTGGGATAAATGGCCCGATATCGATCTGGATATTTTTTTTAAAAATATCAGAAGATTGAATTTCATTTAGCGTCTTACATTTTCAGCATTTTTTTAAAGAACATTTTGATTTAATTGTATTTATATGTCTAACGTAACTGGTGAAATATGAAAGCATGCAAATCATCCAACTTAGAATGAAGTTCATTTTAAACAAATTAGCATTACATTGTATTGGATTGGGTTACAATTTTAAATGGGGCTATTTTTACATGTAATCTTTTTATCTACACAAACTTACCTCCATTCATCGAAATTCAAAGAGAAAAAAGGCGCTATGCAAAATATTTAAAGCTTTATTGCATTTGCTCAAGTACAATATGAAAGTTACTTCGTAATTGTGAAAACTTCAATTTCCATTGCTTGTAGTCCAGAATAGTTCAGAGAAGAGTGCAGTGGGGCATAGAGAAAACTTTTACTATATATATATATATATTGTAAATGGGCACCGCGCTCTGTAGACTAAATGTGTCATGAGTACAGAATGTAGACATTTCGTTTGTTCTACATTTGTTTTAGATAAATCCAAGGCCCAGAGTCTCAAGAGATGCTGCACTAAAAAGATCCCTCACTGCTCAATGACTCTGAGTGCCGAGTATTGGTGTAAGTTGCAGTCCTCTACCAGCAAGCTTTAGTGTCTCAATATGAATGAATTTTTTTTTGGAGAAGGCACAAACAAATAAACACGACTCACAATTCTCAAGGGGTTGCAAAAAATACCATTTGATAAAAAAAAACAAAAAAAACATCAGAGTTTAAGAAAATGTAATCAAAGTCTTCATTCCATATTCTTAAATAGTTTTAACTGCATATATAAGGTTATCAATTGCTTTCAGATATATATCAATTCATAACTGCAAGCCAAAGAATTTAAATCAAAACGTTGAAAAGCAAGCTAAGAGATACGATGTGGACTCGAAATCAGAATTTTAGGAAAAAAATTGTCTTAAGGACGAAATACTCCTGAGAAGGTACAGTCCTACGTACATTTATGATTTTTTACAAAAAATTAAACACAAAAGTTACTTTAACCTGTGAATAAATGTGTCAAGGTTTTAAATAAGATGAAACAATATTACAATTCTAGAAGTTTTCACCGATTAAATATTTAGCAAAAAAACTATAATTGAATCTTATTACATGTATAATGCATAATAAAAGGCGTACTTACTGGTACATTTGTTCTACGTTTATGTTTCAAAGATTATGGGGAATTTTTGTCTGGAAGTCGCAGTCGTTCATATACAAGGAAGTAAAAATTGTTACTATATTTATATTACTTTATTTATAGGTACTCCATGAAACACCGTCTCTATTTAAAAACAAGAAATGAAAAAGAGTATAACGAGGCTTAAACTTTTCGCAAATTTTTGTCTTAAACTTTGAATGGACATACCAGGTATACGATTTTGCATCATATTTAACGGTCTCGATGAATTTGGCTTCTATGACTCAAAATCTTTGATAAAATATCATTTAAAACCATTAAGTGAGGATTTGTATTTTGTGGCGGAGGAACGGGGAGAGGGTTAGTAAAAAAAAATGAAGTTCAATAATTCATTGATATAATATTTAGCTTTAACTGTAAGAAAAATCTCATTTATTTCATTTATTTGTAAAATTATCTCTTATAAATGAATAAATGTAGATAATTTTGTACTTAATCGTATTTTTTCTTTATTCTTAAAGAAGAATTATCAAAACAAGAATGAAAATATCCTGTAAATGCACATAATAGTTTATTACTATTTAGATTTAAGAACTTACAAATCTTACTGACAATCAATTGTATCGGTAACAGGAGATTTAGATTTTCCGTAAAGTTATAATGACATTATTGCATGTGAGACTTTAGGGCGGGCTGGGAACATCTGATCACGAACAGTCACGCGACCTTAGCCAGCTCTCAGTTAGACTACGCATTGGAAGCGGTAAGTATATACAATATTTGTTTTTTATCCTAAATTTTTTGTGTTTGCACATCATTTACACTCTCTTAATAAAAAAATATACAAATATATATCAAGAGGTGTGTGATGTATATTAATCAGCAATTATTCTATTGTTCAACAATTTTATTTTGTTGAAATTGGTTTTTATTGTAAGATTTAAAAATTATAAACTTGACTGAAGGACTTTGAAGTGTTTTACTTTAATAAAACACAATGCCAATGTAAACATCTAAATACATTTAAGTATTACAGTTATATCACCTAGCATTAAAAATTGTATCATAATGGAATTAATAATTCATAAAATATTATTGAAATCTTTGAAAGTGAATTGTCACTGTAAGAAAAAAATCATAAAGATATCAAATTATGTCTCAATTGTTGTGTGTTTAAATTGGTGTTCCCAATCTATAATGCAATCCCATGTAAACCGAGCATTTTCTTAGGATCACAATTTGAAGAAAGATGACGACTTCTGTATACTACATTACATCACAGACTACACAGATAATAATCAGTCAATATTTTACTATGGTGATTAAAACATCTATCATAGAAAAACTTCTCAGTGCGTAAATATATATTACTTAGGCAAAATATCCTATATTTTGCTGCAGAAATTATGCAAATTATTAGGGCTGGGCAATAATATCAATATTTCGGTATATTGCAATACAACGACAAACAATATCGTATCGCAATATGTTTTTGTAATATTGATTTACCGGCGAAATGCTTTGATTAAGGAATATTATCATTAAATATAAGAACAAATGTCAGAAAGGATTGTTATTAAGCCAAACAGTGAGACAGGAACTGTTTCATGGGTGTATTTCAAAGCAGAAATTTAATAAAACCAACAAGATTTTTTTTTCTTTTGCTTACTTATCAAAGTTTTGTACACTCTGTATGTAAATTAAAGTTAATATAATAAGAAAATGCCATTTTAAAAACATTAAAAATATTACAGTACATATCGCAATACAGTTAAAAATATCGCAATATATCGCAATATGAATTCTTTGGCCAATACCAAGCCCTACAAATTATGCAATCTCTCATCAATACAAAAATATGAAATTGTCTTGCTGAAGAATCAATAATCAATTAGAAAAAAATGTATATTAGGTTTTCTTAACTTTTCTGAAATAAAAAAAATAATAAAACCAATGGCCTTTTTTCAGTTTGGTACAAAAAGATGACTTTTTATTTAATCATATCTTTCAATGTTAGTTCGGGACATAATGACATTAAAAATAGAACTTAGTAAAAAATACTGGATAAAAATTTTTGAAGACTTTGGATGCTTTTAGTAGGTACCCTTTATGATGAGATCTACCATTATGTGGACTCTAATAGCGTGTCTTTGTACATTGGCAATTTCTGGAACCGAGTCCCAGTCATTCTCGGAGCGCAGTTTGAGGCCGGAGAGCGCCGCCCTTGTGCAGTCTTTCAGGAAGTATCTGGCGGGGGTAGAAAGGAAAAGACGGGATGAATTAGAGCGGGATGGAAGAGGTGAAGGAAGTCTGAAGTTATTTTATAAATAAGTGTAATTTTCAAGGGTCAAAATTTGAAGGAAAAAAAAAGAACATAATACTGTTTTCAAATTTTTAAAAAGTTTTCATGAATTATGATTTCTTTGTAAAACAATAAGCAACACTTAAAGATATTTAGTACTATTCAAATTAGATCTCAACGAAAATCTATTGATATACATTAAATCAAATTATGAATTCTTTACCTAAACAGCGATCTCTAACTCAACACAAAATCCATTAAGCAGTCTTCTCTGTACGGATAGGAAAGATTGCGGGAACATCATTCAAAACTTTGGTCTCTATCTGGATCCCAAATCAGCTCTGCGCATGTGTAAAACTGGCCCAAAAGGTTCCCAACGAATTCTTATCCAGAGTAATTACGACACATCCCCATACTGTCAGTACCTGCAGTCCCACTTCAATATCTGTGAAAACAAGACCGCGGTAATGGAAATCGGGTGTCAGTTTACTTGTGAGAAATGCAAGGTTTGCGGTAAGAACACACTTTTTAACTCAATTAAGAGACCGCTAATTTAAACATTTAGCTTCAGCAAATATCTTTCTCCAAATTTTATTAATTTTCAAGACTCATATTTATTGATTTAAAATCTTTAAAAAAAAAACTTTTTTATATGATATTTTGTCGAGTCCTTTGAAAAGTGATTAATAATTTCTTTGTGATCATTGAATCTTCAATGTTAATAAACTAAAGGATATTGATTTTCATAAATTCAGATGACGACGAATGTAAATGCAGCAAGTACTCTAAGGGTAAATACGTGGACGGACGCTACGTGTGTAAATGTGACAAAGGATTCCGTGGAGACGGCTTCACCTGCCTAAGTAAGAACAGTCATTTATTATTATAATAGTTTCAAGACAAAAGATGAAACCCAGCATAAAAATATTTTCTTTAAAAAAGATCCTACTGTAGATATATCAGAAAAAACATTTAATGACATTATAAATAACATAATTCTGAAGAAAGGTCAGAAAATTAAATATAGAATGACATTATAGATATAGACGAATGTAAAGAGGGGTTGGACGACTGCCACGATACACGAGCTCACTGTACTGACCTGACACCTTTCTGGAAATGTTACTGTAAGACGGGGTACAGCGGAGACGGCAAAACCTGCGAAGGTGAGCAGAGGGGTTTATATGAGCTTACCTTTTCGATATTTGTGCGTGAGAAAGTTAATATCCCAAAGGCTGAAGAAGAACTATAAATTGTCATCGAAATTTAAGGCAGATGAAGCGTTGGTTGAACTGTTTTGGGTTTCTGGTTATCTATGCTTCTGTTCCTCAGATGTGGATGAGTGCATCAAGAAGGCTTTCCCTCCAAACAAAGAGTGTGACGAATACGCTAACTGTACAAACACGGTGGGGAGTTACTACTGTACCTGTAAAACAGGCTTCACAGGAGATGGATACTTCTGTAACGGTCTGAAAAATATTTAATAATTATCTATATCATACGTCTCAACTATTTTATTTTTCATTACTTTGTTTAGATTATTAGAAAAAAAAATCCTAATATTAATCATTGCAACGCTTCCATTTTTGACATGACGTCACACTTTGATGTCACAATGCATTTTCAAAAATAATACCCAGGTATTTATACTTTAAAAGTATTGTGTTTATATAAAATATTTACAAAAATATTTTAGTTATATAAAGTCATTAAAAACAGTTAAAAAAAACATACTTTCACTTGCATTGGCAATCCATCACCTTGGTTCCAAATTTCCAAGCCCATCAGTATAATGCTTCTAAATCTTTGTTAAAATACTATATCATTCGTCTCAATTATTTGATTTTTATTTTTCATTATTTTGTTTAGATTATTAGAAAATTTTTCCCTAATATTAATCATTAACTCATGAACACCCAATACTTAAATTAGATTGAGTTAAATTATTACATTGTTGTGATTCTTTATTCATTTTTTTTATTATTGAAACTAGTTGCACTTTTAAATTTCTAACATTGAATCTGTTTGTGCATATGGAAAAGGTATGTGTTAAAGAATATCTTTATGTTACATAGATAAAGACGAGTGTGATTTAGGAGAGGACTCGTGTGCACGTGATTCCGATGACACCAGGATTGCTAAATGTACAAACACCTTTGGTTCCTATAAATGTTCCTGTCATATAGGATACAAGGACATGGGCAAAGACGGAAGACAGTGTGTTGGTATGAGAAACAAATAGAGAAAATGGGGAAAATGGCTAGTATTAAAGAAATCAAACTCTTCACCTATTGTGTGTTTATATACAAAATGTAGAAAACGAATGGAAACATTTTGATATCATATTGAATCAAATTAACTATGTGCTGAATATCAGACCTGTTTGCCTTTCAGATCGTAATGAATGCACAGAAGGAGGACACAACTGTCATAAGAACGGGTTCTGTAAGAACACCATTGGTTCCTTTACGTGTGAATGTAACAAGGGATACGAGGGAGATGGAGTGCGTTGTCTCTGTGAGTAGTGTTCATGAAAAATCCTCCTAAAATTCTCCTTAGACTTGATACTTAGAGTATTGATCAATTTTGAATAAAATAAGAGATGAATATATTTTGCTTGATTTCCACTTTTGCACTTGTACCATTTTTCATAAATGAGAAAAAATATAGAGATTTTGTCTTCAGTTGTAGGCATCATATGATTTCATATTTGGGTTTTGTAATTTGTAATAAAATGTAATCAGTAAGCATTGATTAGTTAAATCGTTACAAAACGTAATATATTGCATTTTGTTTTGTTTCATCCATTTAAGGGTCTAATCCATGTCTTCCACTCGGCAAAAATAACTGTCATTCAAAGGCTGAGTGTATCGCTGATCTTGAAAACCATAATTACACCTGTGAATGTAATGAAGGATACAGGAGCACTGGCAAAGATTCTTTGCCTGGTAGAAATTGTGACAGTAAGGGAACATTTTAAAACATAATCATTAAAACAAAAAACTTTTTATTTAGTTCTTATAATCTTGTTCTAAGAATACTTACCTCTTAATGATTTCAAACTTTTGTTCTTTTTCTCTACTTGCTGTAAGGTTTATGTTTTTGAAATGATGAAAGAGTGAAAATAGTTTATATAAAGTACCTCGTTAACCTAGTAAAACTTTTAAGGGCTGCATTGCATTTTAAACATGTTAAACGTTCAGATTATCTTTTAGCGTTAGAATTTTTGTAGGTTTATTTATATGAAATACACTGAGAGTTAATATTGCTTCTTTTAGACATCAATGAGTGTACAGATGGAACTCACAAGTGTGACAGGAGCCTCGTCAGGGCTACGTGTACAGATACAGAGGGAAGCTACAAATGTTCTTGTAACAAAGGCTGGCAGGGAAACGGTTCTCCAAACTGTACCGGTAAGTCTTTTAGTTGATATTGCTTCTTTTAGACATCAATGAGTGTACAGATGGAACTCACCAATGTGACAGGAGCCTCGTCAGGGCTACTTGTACAGATACAGTGGGAAGCTACAGATGTTCTTGTAACAAAGGCTGGCAGGGAAACGGTTCTCCAAACTGTACAGATATACCCTATACCTTTAAACTGAACTATATCAGTGGCTCCAAAATGTACCTGCAAGTTCTATAGCTTAATAGTTCTCAAACTTTATTTAAAGATTTACACCACAATGACAGATTTTCCAATTGTACTGGTAAATAATAGATTTAAGTTATGTCTTGAAAATACCTCAATATTTTTATGATCATGGTCAGAAAACAACTCTGGTTGTTTATGGTCAAAGAAACTTTTTATATATATCAGAAAATAACATGTTTGTTATTTTGCAGACGTGAATGAATGCTTCGTTAATACACACAACTGTGTAGGATTAGCAATGTGTGTGAATACCCCGGGCTCCTTTAGATGTACATGTCCCAAAGGTTACGCTTTGGCTGCAAACAAACGAAGTTGTGTTGGTGAGTGATATCAACAAAGTTACAGTGAATAAATTTTAAATTATCAAAACCACAAATTTGAGAAGAAAAATTAATAATTTTCACTGGTTTTAAAAAAGATCATTATACACTACAAACTTCTTTTTCTGCAGATATTAACGAGTGTGCTCTGGGTACAGATAATTGTCATAGTTTAGCGACCTGTAAGAACACGGTTGGTTCCTTTACCTGTACATGCAAAACAGGCTACGAGGGATCTGGAACAATGTGTAGAGGTATACTACCACCATATTCTTTTCATTTTTTTCTTCTTTTTTTTTTTTTACATTTTTTCGGGGGAAAAATGTACATATATGGCATTTACTGAGTAGTTATATTGTATTTTTTGTTTTAAATGGTTTATTTTTTTTCGTTGACAGACATTGACGAGTGCAAACGAGGTCTGGATAATTGTGACTCGCGCGCCACTTGCACCAACACCCAGGGTTCCTACACATGTGCATGTAAGATAGGATTTGCAGGAAATGGATTCAATTGTACAGGTTAGAATTATACATCCAAGACCCATTTACAAAAAACATGTTTAAATAAATAATCATCATTTCTTGAGATTTGTATAACTTCAAACTGATGTTTAAAAACAGCAAATAATTTTATTAAGTACTTTTTTGTTCGTTCTATAAATAAGAATTTACTTACTTTACTCATTTTATTTTAGCAAATATTTCTTATTGAACATTGAGCCTGGATACTGTACATTATCTTTGCACTGATTATTTCTTTACAGATATTGATGAATGTAAACTCGGAACACACAGTTGCAACACGACATACACAACCTGTAAAAACACAATTGGATCATATCGCTGCCAGTGTAACACTGGATTTGAACCTGATGGAAATGATTGTAAAGGTATCAAAATTCAACTGTTTAGTCTATAATATTGCAAAAAGTAATTAAGTTTATAACGAGCAAATAATCAATGTTTTGATATATTAAATAGGCTTTATTTATTTAATTGTTTTTTCCTCATACAATCCATGCAATCTTTACTATGTGAAGTTAGTAAGATATAGCAACATGAAAATTTTGTATGCAACATATCAAATTGCTTTTGTGTGTAAACATGTATATAGAGAGAACATATGTAATATTATTGTAGATATTAATGAATGTGGAAGAAACACCCATTCGTGTTCGAAATACGCTTCTTGTCAGAACACTTGGGGTTCGTACCAATGTCAGTGCCGAGTGGGATTCACAGGAAATGGCTGGAACTGTAGAGGTATGGAATATCGTATTTGTTCTAAATTAAGTTTTATTATTGATGATAGAAATTAAATGTAAAGCTAGTTCTGTAAATTCATCAGGATTGTAAGTAAAGGTATTTACTTATGACATTTAAAAAAAATATATTTTTCTCTGAATAACAGATGTTGACGAATGTGTGAAGGGAACAGACACTTGTCCTGAGCCAGAAGAAGGAGTGTGTACCAACACTATAGGGTCCTACAAATGCTCGTGTATCACAGGATACGACTACAAGAATAATAAATGCATAGGTGACCTACATATTCATCTTTTTTTTAACATTCGTTTCCAAGTTCTTTCGAAGTATGAAAAAAGCATAATCCTTGTGAATAAAAATGATATCTCCGAAGAAAATGTACAGTATCTAAATATTTCAGTTCTTGAATTTTATAAAACTCAAACACACAATTTAAGAAAATAACTGATTTTTTTTTAAGTTAATTCTTATTCTTCGGTCAATCGTGAATAATTGATAATAAAATTTTAAACTATCTTCAACAACCAAAAATTCAGAAATAATGAACAGAATGAAAGTATTATGTGGCTTCATTAGGTATTAAATTTCTTACCTTGTAAACCAAACTAAGTTCTTTTTATTATGGCATTTTGCATCTTAACTGCATTGTCTACACCAGATATCGACGAGTGTGTCCGAGGTACCCACAACTGCACAGGGCCTTCTCGCTGTAATAACACTATAGGGTCCTTTAGATGTGAATGTCACACTGGGTATGAGCTGAAGGGTGGGAAATGTGTTGGTGAGTGGGAACATTCATTTTTTTAAATGTTATATTTTGTAACACTTTTATCTTTTTATCGTGTCATCTATTATGATTAATCGATGTTTTCCGTATTTGTAATCCACCACCCATTTTTTGTTTGCTTATAATGTCACAAAGTCTTATTGATTTTCAAAAGTTAGGTCAATTTCAATCGAATGCAACTTATTTCAACATATTTAAACTTTGTCATTTATATTCGTTCACGAATATTTAACAAGGAATAATATTACTAGTAATTACATTTAAGACTGAGATAACGGTAATTATTATAAGACAAGTTTTGTTTATTTATAGATATTAATGAATGTTTGAGAAAAACGGACAGTTGTGATAAGGGTCCGGGATATTCTACGTGTACGAATACGATTGGATCATATACATGTAAATGTAACTCTGGATTTGAAGGAAACGGATTTATTTGTAAAGGTAATGTTCATGCGCAAAATACTATATTGATTTGAAGATAAAACATTATTTTGCCTGCCTCTTAAATAAATATTTCCATGATTTATAATTTCAAGCATTTAATGTTGTTCTAATAACAATGCATTATTTTTTTTTTTAACTTTTACCTATTCAGCAGAAAGTATTGTCAGTGTACATACTGTAGTAAAAGTGTAGATAATAGCCTGACGTCACGACGCCAGGCTGTATAAGAATTGATATTTGCAAGATCCGAAACTAATAGATCATACCTAGAGAGCTAGATTTTGTGCAAGCTGATTTACATTGGATTTCTTTACCTGCATTTTAAAAGAAACAGTTTTCAGAAAAAATTTCATATTACTGATGCAAAATACTTGGTGTTTACTTCCTTTCATTTTTTTGCATGGAACAATTATTCCATGTGATTCACCGTTTCAACATGTCCTTGTATCATTTTTTTCTGCATTTCTATACTAGTGGATCAGTCCATTTATGTTCTGCGAAAGGGATGAATCGCTCTTTTTGCGCCAAATGTCACTTAGTAAGCTCGTAATTTTCCTTGGATTGTTCTATTGTGTGAATGGGTGTGCTAACGTCTATGGAATTAAATAAACTTTGTCCTTTTACATGTTTTAACCTCCTTCTAATACATCAGAAATTCTATCTAAAAATTTATCTCATTCTTTTATTTGTGTAAGTAACATTTTGTATATATATCAGTATATGGACAAGCAACACTAAAGAAATTATTTTTTTCTAATTTGTTTCCCGATCCCGTGGTTGTTTACTACATAAATGGACTAGTCCAATAATGAACAACGCGCAGTTCAGCAAGTCATGGTGTCAAGATACATGAACATTTGTATCCCTGTTTCAGATGCACACAGAAACCAGTACTAAATCTTGGATTTTTCTTTACACAAAGGCCTAAATATTGATTTTTTTTATTTCAATCTCAATACATGATAGTGACACCCCCTCCTTTTTGAAAGAAAAAATAAATGAACATATTACTTCTTTTTACTTCAGTGGAATAAATACACTCCAACAAAATGTGTATTTTTAATTATATCCATCTTTTAAAACGTTTACAATGCATGATTTCATTACAGATATTATTTACATTATATAATAATAGATGTAATGTAGCTTTCAATTTAGATCCAAGGGCAGATCACTCCACTTGCCACCCCCCCCCCCCCCCCCCCCCCCCCCCCACAAAAAAAGAAAATAACAACTTTTTAGTATGCAGTTTAGTGATGATTCTTCTGTAAGTTAAACAAAATCAAGGATTTTATTTACATACGGTTTTCAAATTAAAAAATAAGGACATATTTTAAACCCACAAAAATATTGCTCAAAAGGTTTATCACTCCTCCTGCAGATATTGATTGATTTAGTCAGGCAAGCTTTTTAAAAAGCTGTTACTTGTAATAGAATAATGAATGTTTTATCTGGGATGATAAGCAAATATTTGATATACATTGAACGTTTTCAATATACAATGATCGAGAAATAAATCATCTATATACACTTTTATCACTGTTCGTGTTACAGAAGCCATATTGTGACAGTGGTTTAAATTTATAATATAAAAGTATACAGTAGCATCAGGATTATCTATGGAGTTGACGGACACTGTGCAGACAAATCAAAATTTAATACGAAACACCCATTTGAACTTGCCGCCGATTGTGAAAAAATGTTTTGATATTGATATTATTTAAGTTAGTGTAAAAGTATTACTAAAGAATTCAGTTACTCTCTAACTCTTTTTAGATGTAAATGAATGTGACAGAGGAAGCGACAAATGTCATGACAAAGCTGATTGTATCAACACGATTGGTTCCTATAACTGTTCATGTATAACAGGATATGAAGGCGACGGATTCCTCTGCAAAAGTAACATTTTAGTAAATTATTCAAATTATTATCTTTTTAAGTTATAAATGCAAACTATCCAATAAATTTTAAAAAAGATAAGAATAAAATTCAATATTTTTATATGTCTTCAAAATAAAATATGACTTGCCACAATTTGTTTAGATATTGATGAGTGTAGAAGAGGGACACATACATGCGATAAGAGGACTTCCCCCAAACGAGCAACATGTACAGATACGCCGGGGTCTTTTACTTGCAAATGTAACACTGGGTTTACTGGAGATGGAAAGAATTGCCGAGGTAAGAACTAAATGTTCCTCACATTAAAACAGACGATTGGTTTAGAATATTTAGCACATTTATTCTATTCGCTTGCCTTTCATTTATACATACGCTTAGTTGACTATCATATCAAAAGTTCCATTTCCAATAACATTAAAAAAAATATACATTTCCCTTGTTTCTATCATTTTAGTCTTTATCATTATGTAACATTTGTTCTGACGATAAAAATAAAGGTCATTTAATTTATTTCAATAAAAAGTATACATATTGTGCCTTCATTTTTTAGCTTTGAACTGAAAGTAGATTGTATTTAAAAATATATTTTACGAAAGTGACAGATTCACATATATAACTAGTTTCATATATTTCTTTTGAATGGTTGGTCTCAAAGTGAATATAAGTAAACCTGTTCCAATAAATTTTACGATAGCTTCAAACTATGCAATATTGCAAACTAATTATGTTATCTTCTCATTAATAAAATACAAATAAAATCCTTTTTAAGATATCAACGAATGTGACCCGTATATTAATACACACAACTGTCATCGTCCACACGCTGAATGTGCCAACACAATCGGAAGCTTCACCTGTAAATGTAAAAAGGGATTCCGAGGAGACGGCTACACCTGTAAAGGTAAGTTAATTATGGACAGAAATAGGTATTGTAAAATAAAAAAGAACTTCATTTTTTTTCTATAGTGGTAAATTCCGGACATTCTTCTATATTTGGATTATTTCTGATGATGCATTATGCTTTACGTTATCGAGAATTAATTCCGTTTGATGAATATCGAAAGATTTTATTAAGTACACAATATTACATTGTAACACAGATATTGACGAATGTAAAGAGAACACACATAATTGTCACAGACCCCACGCCATGTGTGACAATACCATTGGTTCCTTCAAATGTAAATGTAAGGTTGGATATAGAGGGGATGGATTCACATGTACACGTAAGTATTCTTACTGTATTTATGTTATTTATCATAAATCATAAAGGAAATAACTATATATGGATGACTTTTCAAAATGTGTACTGTATATAACGTTTAAGATGAATGGCACCTGAAAACAGTAAATGCTTGAGGAAGTCATTCAAACTGTTTATTTCCAAGAGTAGAAAATTAAATTTTAATCATCTATTTAACAGCCGTTAAACATTGTCTGGAGGGAACAGATAAGTGTAGTAAATATGCCAAATGTACAGATCTTGTCAAAGGAGGGGATTACAGCTGTGATTGTAACTTTGGTTTCTTTGGGAGTGGAAAAACATGCACTGGTAAGATCTATTTATTAATCATTCAATAAATCACACAACATTCATGAAAATCTGAATTTCCGATGATTTTTTTTTTTGTTTTTGCAAGCATAGATATATCATGAATCTCACTTCTCTTTTTTAAAAAATATTTTGCCTAGTTAAATGTTCATTACTTAACCATACTCTGGACGTTTTTATCCTGTAATAGAGCATTAAATACATATATCTTGAGTACTTGTTTCTCTCTTAGGAAGTCGAGGAAAACGATTTGTTGTTCTCTTCATGAAAAATATAATGGATCCTACACAAACAAGCCCTGGCCCCAAGCACGCACAGATTTACATAGCGTCAATTGATAAGACCGATCTCAAAGTCTCTACATCTGCAGCATTGACTTCGAAATTAAAAACCAAAATAGACATGAGAGAATCAATGAAATCAAATTCTGAGAAGATAATCACCATACCCTTTGAAATTAGAGTCAACGATTTTCAAGTAGAAAACAGGGGAATCATAGTAGAGACAACTAAAAGTACTTCTGTATTTGCTCTGAATCATGACGGTTATACATCTGACAGCACTCTTATCCTGCCCACGGACAGACTTGGGACAAAGTACATTGTACCAACAACAGTTCCTTACGATAGCCGGCACACTGACTACAACAGCCAGATAGCCTTTGCAGCAGTTGAAGACCAAACGCGTGTAACTATCGTTCTAAAACTCCCAGTAGGACAGTCCATTAGCTATCTTGGAAAGAGGTATACGGACGGAGGTAGAATCATTGTGAATTTGAACAAGTTCCAAACTTTCCAGCTATCGCACAATGGTGATCTGACTGGAACCAGGATTTCTTCAAGTAAAATTGTTGCAGTTTTCTCTGGAAATCGATGTAACAAACTAAATCGATTCGGCTACTGTAGTCATTTGGTGGAGCAAATCCCTCCAGTGGAAAGTCTAGATACAACATATGTGGTTCCCCCACATGTGGAGAGAAGTGGAACTCATGTCAAAGTGGTGGCTGCTCACACAGGTTCCACAACCTTCTCATATTCTGTGGACAAATCGAAAAAATCAACAACTATAGGCACATATGGTAACTTTGATAAAATTGTTACTGGTAGACAAGCGGTCGTCATCGAGGCTAAGCGACAGGTGCTTGTTTTGAGTTTTGGTCTTGGGGCATTTAGGTCAAAGAACGGAGATCCCTACATGACAATGGTACCTGGGGTAAACCAGTATGTTCATCAATACCACATCGCTGTCCCAGATGGATTTGCTAAAAACTATATCGCTATTATTGTGAGGAAAAGTTCCAAGAATAACTTACGAGTAGACAATGCCAGCATAAATTCTTCGGATGTCGTGTCGCAGAGTACTGTCAGTGTCGGAGGCACAGAGTATGTAGCAATGGCTGTCAGTATCACCAAGGGTGTGCACCGAGTGGAGACCACAGACAAATCACGGTTCGGTCTAATGGTTTATGGACATGGTCAAGATGATGGGTACGGTTTCGCTGCTAACATTCTTGGTCCTGGAAAAATCTGAAAATAAAGATAACAATCTCGAATTCATTCAGGGTGTACTTTGAATTCAAATTTCTTGAATAAATAGGCAAAATTATAGATTGTTTTTAAATCTTTTTTCTCATTCCAAGGAATTTCTTAACTTTTCTGAGTCTTTTGAACTTTTAGAATCGAAAAATGCACATCACCAGTCTTTTCATTAGCAGCTTCTTCTCCAGATTAAAAGATAAAGATAATTAGTAGTGATCGATCTGGAAAAAAATGTAGAGGATACAACTCCGTGAAATCAGACACCTGAAAATTCCACAAGTGGTATAAGGTGCCTAGAAAAAGTAAACATCTTCTGTTAACCCAATTCGTATCAAAAAGGACCCAATGTAACATTTGCTGGCAAGATCATTATAATGACCATAAAATTTACCATATGCTGACTTCAAACGAGCTTGTTGAACTCTCTGTTACAGCAACTTATCAGAAATAAGCAAGCCTCTCTTGAAGAATTGATTGTACTCTGTGCAAGCATTTGAATGAAGACATACAAACCTTAAACAGGTGACATTGGAATATTACTACATGAAGAAGGAAAGTTGAAGTTGAAAAAAGCTAAAATCAACTGGTCAAAAAATTTTAGTTATTATAGTTGGCCCTTTTCGTCTTTAATTAGTAATTATCCGAATATGAAACAGATGTGGCATTCATAGGTTCTGTATCTTATTTCAAGTTCACTGGGCTCGACATATCGAGTTAATGTATGTATGAAAATAACTATTGTTAATTAATCAAACATCTTCGATATGTAAAGTGGCAATTTTCTTTTATGGAGGAGTTCTTCTTGAAATTTTACTTTATACGAATAAACAGCGTATAGTTTAAAAGGAATTCAAAAGGTTTGTTGAGAAAATTGGTCTCCGAAGACTACATAAATGTTGTGAATGAAAAACTACAGGATAATTTCAACTTATGAGTACTTGCATGAAGGTTATGGTAATAACACTCCCTGCTGACCGGTCACACCCTCCGTGTGCTCCTTGTCATGATCGGGAAATAACGGGAAAATCTGTCGTAAATTCAATGTATAAATAATGGACTAACAATGAGTATGAAAAACCTAAGTCATCATTTGACTTAATGATAAATTGTTTTTGCTATCAAAGTCATTGTATCAACCATAGAACTTACGAAATGACAACTTTAAACGAGACTGCTGATATTCTTTCATAAACTTGCTTCCCTTACTAATGCAGCAATATACCTTCATCCCCTGCATACGGAGTGTATATATCTCAGTTTATACGATACACAAGAGCATGCTTTACGTATGAACAATATCTAAAACGAGGTAAATTATGGACAAGCAAGTTGATGCAACAAGAATATCAGCAGTGTCGTTTAAAGTCATCATTTCGTAATTTTTATGGTCGATACAATGACCTTGTTAGCAATTACAATTTATCATTGAGTCAAATGCTGACTGACGTTCTTCACACTAATTGTAAGTTCATTATTTATACACTGAATTGACGACAGTTTTTTTTCGCTATTACCCGATCATGACAAGGAGCACATGGCGGGTGTGACCGGTCAACAGAGGATGCTCAATTCTCCATATGGCACCTGATCCCACCTCTGATGTTTCGGGGGTCCGTGTTTACTCTGCTCCTATTTAGTATTGCTTTATGGACTTTGATATTGTATGCTATTCGTTATCTCCATAGCCTTCGTATATCAAAGGTTGAACGATTATAATTAAATTTATGAAGGTTGATCCAAATATGTAAATCGCGTAGGCGTTGTGGCACACAGGCCTGAAGAATAATTTTCTAGTTTTCTCTCGTCTTTCCGCCTGATATCCGTTGACATTTACGTAACTGACTTTTTCATAAATCAAAGGACATATTTTAACAAACATAATTGAGTCGGACAAATTACTATCTTCTACAATGTAAATGTTGTAATGCACAAAACATTCTAGGGTTTGAGTTATCTGCAGCTAATTTATTTCAAACTTCACTTAAATGTCTGTAAATTAATATTTGTTGTTTAACAAGATGCTAGATAATCAAGTGGGCTCTTTTTGACTTTTATTTGTCTGTTAGCAATTCACAACATCCACTTGTTTTCCTTTATAATAAAGATATCTGTATAAGAGAAAGTCTAAAAGTGTAAATATGTCCTAAACACAAGGTCCATTTAGGTTTCGAATTTAATATTAAGAATATTATTATGTTTGTATATTATTATTCTCTTGAATATTACACACTTTTAGCTTCACGTGGTTAAAGAATCAGTTTTAAAGAAACACAAATGCCTTATTCCTTATGACTCACTATCGCTCGATAAAGTCTTTTTTAAACTTTCACATTCCTCCTGATGATTGCGCATCTTTTCTCTTAGTTGCCTGATTCGCTCCTTTGTGTCTAATTTTTCAGTGTGCACATGAGAAATACTGTGTTCAGGGGTCTGTTCTTTATCCCTGTCCCTGGTTTGTGAAATAGTTCTCTCAAAAGCTGGTATTGTTTTAGCCAGATTGCTTATTTTAGAAATGTTTTTCTCCTTAACTACGACTGTGAAAATGGCAGCTTCAAACTTGTGTTTGTCACCTGGCTTTGACTTAACTGTTACCCATTCTTGGCCAGAAGAATTAATTTTCTTCATTGTATTTGGATGACTATATTCAGCTGTGCATTGTGATTGAATATCATTACCATTTGGTTTTGTATTGATAGGGGCACTGCCGCTCAGCATACTCCGCTCAGACGATCCAATTGGATCATTTACAGCTGATAAAACCCCAGATTGAACCATAAGTCCATTATTAGAAGCAGTTGTTACTAGGCCTGAGTGAGAACTCGCAGTGCTTTGGTTCCCTCGATTTGCAGTCTTGAAAAAGGAGGGAACAGTTTTTGAATGAAGAGAATTGTTTACATTGACAGTTTTTTGACCTGATACAATAGGTTTAAAAGAAGCATTTGTTTTGTTCGGGAATAGGAGAATTGGCCTCGAGGGATCCTTTGGAACAACCGCCAAGCCAGTGGTCTTAACACCAGGGTTTCTCTTACACGAGTTTGTAGTTGGCACTGGTGTCTGTGGTTTATCAACAATAAAGCGTAATTTTGAGTTTGGCAAAAGGTTTTGTAGTTTATTATTTTGTGTTGAAGTGATAAATAATGTGCTTCTGCCTTCAGAATGCGGACCATTTAATTTTGGAATGATCAACAGTTTCTGTGCAGAGGAGGAATTGATGCTCTGTTTAACATCTGAAGCAATCTTGCCTGAAATGTTGGAAGCTGATAGAGTAAATACGTTGGACTGATTTAATGCTTTACCGGTAGATTTTACTAGCCGCTCAAGCTTTCCAATGTTCGAAGAATTCTTCTTTAATTCTCTTAGCTTGGTTGCACTTGAAGATGTGAGCTGACAAACAGAAGAACCAGGTGAAATAGGACACTTTCCACTTGAATGATTTGTCGGGTTTTTTAATAATTTCGAATCCGTCGCAGTCGTCAAAGAGACTTGGGAATTTTCTATTTCCTTCTTTTCTGTTGTTGGTGACGGGCTAAGCTTTCCTGAAGCATTGTGGGTTTCAATGGGCGCTTGAAAAAAAGAATCTATTTCCGTGTTTCTATCTTGCCCTGTCACATTAGTTTGTATTTCTGCTTCAACATTGTCGTTTTCTGTAGAAACTCTGTCTGCAGACAAACTGAATACGCTTGTAATTTTAGGCACTGAGTCATCGGCCGAATCGTCCATAATCTCTGATTTAACAACAGTATCTTCTGTAATTCCAGCAGGATGAACAGAAGACTGTGCTTCAGAGACTAAACTTTTCCCTGTTCCAGTATTAAAATGGATCTCTGGCGCTACAGTTCTTTCTGCAATTCCAGTAGGATCAACAGAAGACTTTTGTTCAAAGACTAGACTTTTCCCTAGTCCAGTGTTCAAATGGATCTCTGGTGCTTTATGTTTATCCATCACATACGCTTTTGGAATTTCAGTAGATGCATCGGTAGGAATGTACACAAGTTTATCTCCTATATCTAGCTGGAAATATTTCTCCTCCTCACCCTGTTCTCTCCTTTGTTCTATTATTTCCTTCTGATGCACGTTGTCTTCAATGCCTTCAATATCTACTTCTTCATTGCTATTTAAAACCTCTATTCTATTCCACGTAGTCAACGGACTCTCTATCCCAGCCTGCTCTATTCCAATTTGATCAATAGATTTCATGAAAGGTCTCATCTCCGATACATTCGTGACTGCTCTTTTCTGTGTTACTGTTGTTGAATCTTTTTCTGTTCCAGTATTACATTGTTTGGCCCTTTTCTCATGCAGTCCTTTCTTATATTTTGGTTTATTATTCAAATTTCTCAGGACCTTGTCCAGGTCTGTATAAAATTCATTAAAAAAAGCATCATTGGGCTTACAACAACGACCGGAAAAACTCACTTTGATTTTTTCCTTCACATACAAGTCTATCGTAGGCGGATCTGAGACGCCCCTATATGTATCCATTGTGTCATTATTGGATGTGTTATCCTGTTTTGTCAAATATGGAGGATTTTGAAGGGGTGTACTCTTGAAAGAACTGAAAGCTGCTGGGGTGTCTGTGGAAAAGGGCAAAGACTTCAGATGACCAAATGGATGAAGTTTCTCTTCCTCAGTTTCTGACATCAGTGTTGGCATACACTGTGTACACTTGAAAGAACTGAAAGCTGCTGGTCTATTTATTGAAGAGGGTAAAGATTTCAAATGGCCATATGGATGTAGTATCTCTTCCTCCGTTTCTGAGTTCAGGGTTGGCATACACACTCTTTCTGGGTCATTTCTTAAACTCTTGCATCTGGCAGCTTGTAAGAACTTTCTGTCTTTCTCATTTCGTTTTTCTAAATAGGTAACTAATTTGTTAATATCAACACCCTCTAAAGGATCACTGTTTTCCAAACATTTTTTCCTCCTAAATTTGGCAGGAGGCAGGTATTCATTGAGATCTAAGCAGTGGTGATCGAATTTCCGCTTCCTCTGTGTCTGTCCTGAATTTTGTGATGCCATGATGTCGTTTGGCGCTATATTTGATGCTGCGTCTGTATCGTCAGTTTCCATTTTGATCGTCTTTTTCCTAAACATTGTTAACAGTTTTTCATCACATATGTCCCGAAGAAAGACAAATCCGTGTTGTATCACTGGTATTTCCTGTGTAGGAGGAATCAGCGTTGATCCCAATCCGTGGCTATTTTTCTACATTAGAAAACAGGAAGAATATAATGCAAATACTTCTTAAAATCAAAGATCTGTGGCATTATTTTTATGGAGAAACAAAATTTGATGCCTTCATTGATACATATGATTTTGGACAAATTTTATTATAAATACTTTCAAATAAAATATGTGGAGATAATGAACAGTTTTGTAGTTCGAAAGTCCGTTCGCATGATACAAATAAGGTTCAAACAAACATCGAACACTAAAAGATTTTAGTAATCAAACTTATTTATATATAAAAGAAGTTTCTAAATACTCTCTTATAAGAAAGAAACTTCGGTCTTAATTGCTCTAGCAATTAAGTTATGCCATTTTATTTCTATCTATAAAGCAACAGAACTATTTGAAATTAGACTAGATATTTTAAAAGATTTTTTACTTCAGAAAAAAAATGTTCAAAGGGAAGACACCCCTCAACTAGCAAGATACATACCTTTCTAAGGTAAAGCATTTTTCTGCATCTGTAAAAATAATAAAAATAATGTTAATGGATGTGTAACATTTAAAACGTTCTTTCTTAAAGAAACTGTCTGTTACATCATTCTGCGAATTTTTTATTCTTTTAAAATGAAATATATGAAGATAACGACAGCATTCAAGATCAAAGTCCATAAAACAATGACTCAATGAAGAAACACTTAGACATGCTGTACATCTTAACATCATCTAAATTGTGTATATTTAAGTTTCTCCTGCTGTTTCAAATATCTTTTATCAGCAGATCTTGATCAATTTGCAAATGAGTGTGATATTTGTTCAGTTCCATGACACTCACTTCTACATGGCACCTGAACCAACCTCTGTATTGTTTATGGACTTTTGATCTTGAATACTGTTCCTTATCTCCACATATTTAATTCCAGTTAAATTTATTAGAGATAGTTTCAGTCTTCTACCTTATGTTTACCTTTTATTGATGCGACATTGTTTTCATTTTTTCTAACAATACTGTGTCCGTCTGTCACTCAATATAAAACCTTGATTAGCACAACGCTGTCAGTTTGACCCCCATATTTATTGTTTATTGACACAACACTGTCAGTATGTCTTCCATGTAAACCTTTTATTAACACAATACTGTGTCCGTCTGTCGCTCCATATTTTCCTTTTCTTGATGAGAAGGATATGGAGATAACGAACAGTATTCAATCTCAACGTCCATTAAACAATATACAAAATAAGAGCAGAGCAAACACGGACCTCTGAAACATCAGAGGTGGGATCAGGTGCCATGGATGGTGTATCAGTCTATGACTTTTTAGCTTTTTTTTAGTTACCACACTGTTTCATTCTACCACTCAACATTAACAGCTTTTATTACTCTATAATAACGTTAATTGATTCATCACTCTCTCAGTCTTTTACTCTATATATACCGTATTTTGATACATCACTCTTTCATTCTATCACTTATATTTACCACTTTTGTTGATACAGCACTGTTTCAGTCTATCTTTTGATATTGACTGGGTTTTTTTCGATACAGCACTGTGTAAGACCATCATTGGATATTTACCGTTTTTGATACAGCACATTTTAGTTTATCACTCGATATTTACCTTTTTTTGATATTTTAGTTCATCACTTGATATTTATCGTATTTTTATACAACACAGATTTAGTCAAGCATTCTACATTTACCGTTTTCTGATATAGCACGCTTACAATCTAACACTTATATTTACCATGTTCACTGTTTTTGATACATTATTTCATTACAAATATATCATTCTATTATTTCTGTTTTTGATACAGCACTGTTTTAGTCTATCACTTCATATTAACCGTTTTTAATACAGCACTGTTTAAATTCATCACTTCATATTAACTGTCTTTGATACTGCACTGATTATGTCTGCCACTTTGCCATTGGTCTCTATATTGGAGGTCCATATGCTCAAATTCCTTAATTGTTCAGACAATTTTAACTTGTTAAATTGGCTAATTTGAGGTAGGAATAATTATTTTTCTTAAGTATATACAGTGTATATTTTTGGAAGCCTCTTTTATTTTAAAAAGAAATATTTAATAAAGATTTTCCACCAAATATTTCTGCTATATCCTCTTAAATTTGGTAAGACAAATAGGGGGGGGACTTTATAAAATATTGGGGAAAAAATCCCTTTCTGACGTCATTACAACCCCTAAATTGTTGGAACATCTCATATATAACTTACAATAAAATTTCAAACAACTTACAGAATGTAGTATAAATTGCAAATTTTACAGAATAATTGTGTCATTCTACATCAGTAAATAAACGGGATTGATTTTTGGATGACAAATGGTCTTTAAAGTGTTTTTCATAGTCATACTTAGGTAGGGAAAAAAGTAATCTTTGAGGATGCGCTGCCTGGACATACAAGTGCTTTCAAAAACATCAACAATTTATTAGAAAATAAAACTAATGATGTAGCATTCTTTCATTCTACCACTTATTACCTTTTTTGACAAGGCACTGTTGGAGTCTTCCACTTATATTTATATACCGTTTCTTTTTATAAAGCACTCATTTATGCTACTACTTATATTTACCTGTTTTGATACAGCACTTTTGCCAATCTACCACTTATACTAACCGGTTTTTTCTATAAAGCACTGTTTTAATCCATTACTTGATACAGTTGTGTATTAACCGTTTTTGATAAGCATTGATGAAGTCTGTCACTTATATTTACCATTTTTTGTTACAGCACTATATAAGTCTTCCACTTATTCGAGGGTTGTTCGAAAAGTTCGTGGATTGATGCGATAAAATTAAGAACTAAGAAGTCTATGCTTATAAATTTTTAAAGGAACATCAAACAACAAACGTTAAAGAAATGTTGAAAATGTTAGCTTGATACCTTGAATAATCATCAAATTACCCTAAAATAAAAAAAGACATTATATGATCACCCGGTGCTGTCACCATTTAGTATCGTGTCAGCATTTTCTACCTCGTACAGACATACACTAATTTTGATAGGATTCGTCGGAGTTAATCATAGATTTAAACCGGTCTTGTTTATAAATTATTTGATTGTACAATGTCATGAACAGCTGATTTCAATGCATATAACATTGTAAAAATGATCTATACAAAGCGAAAGACCCTCAATTAATTATAACAGCATATTTGCCTGTCGGACTTCAACACAGATCACATATGATTAACGTCACTTTTCGACGTGACAAACTTCGAATATCCATATTGCAAATCGACATTTACCTTTACATCTCTTGTCTCTCTAATTTTTTGGCATTTAAAAACAAGTACATGTACTCTGAATATATTTTTTTTCAGTTGCCCATTTAAATATTCCTAGATCTTTGACAATTTTCCAGGGGTGACAATATATAAAACACTGGGAAAAAACCATCCCCTTTCTGACGTCATTACAACCCCCTCATTGTTTGGACATTTCAAATAAAATTTGCGATAAAATTTCAAAGAACTTACAGAATGTGGTAAAAATTGCAAATTTTACAGAACAATTGTGTCATACTACATCAGTGAATAAACGGGGTTTTGGGTGACAAATGGTCTTATAAAAAAGTTTTTTTCTTAGTCATACTTAGGCAGAAAAACGTAATCTTCGAGGTTGTGCCGTCTGGACATAGGAGTGTTTTAAAAAACATCAACAATTTATTAGAAAATAAAATTAATTATGTGCGAGTATAGTTTATTAAATACTGTAAATCACTTTTTATTCACGAGAACTTTATTTTCGCGTAATTACGCGAGACAATGATCTCGCGAAAATTTCATTCTCGCGTATAAAAGTACTTCTTATGATTATATAGAGGAATAACAACAGTTCGTGAAAATTATGTCTCGCTAATAAAGAGTCAATAACTATATCGCGAAAATAAGGTGTCGCGAAAATTTAGTGATCTACAGTAAATAAAAAAAGACTATGCTTATTTAATGTTGAAAAATTCGTTGATGTAGCTTTAGTGGTTTTAATTTTATGGCACTAGTCCACAAACTTTCTGAACAACCCTCGTATTTACCTTTTTTTTTTTGAGACAGCACTCTTTCATTCTACCACTTATATTTCCTTTTTTGACAAAGCATTGTTTAATTCTTCCATTTTTATTTACTGTTTCTACAACTTATTTAAGTCATCCACTTATGTTTCCCCTTTTTATGTACAGCACTCTTCCATTCTTCCACTTATATTTACCGTTTTTGATACAGCACTCTCTCAGTTTAAGACTTATATTTACCATTTTTTCTTGTTTTTTTAATAAAGCACTGTTCAGTCTATCACTTAATATTTACCGTTTTTTGATACAGCACTGTTTCAGTTTTCCACTGCCTCCAAACTTTTGTCTGTCCTTACAATACGTACATATGCCACAATTTTCTGCTTGGCAGCCCGTCAAAACAAGGTCAACGTAATTTTTCCCCCTCAAATTCAAACCTAATGCAACTTTTCTCAAAAAAATATTTTTTGTGTTAATATATTAAGCAAAAAAAAAACATAATCTTCAAGTGTTGTAAATAGAGATTAATTGTCAATTGTTTTATGAAAGATTGCCCTAATCCTTCATAAAGAAAATTACATGTACTCAGTATTTAAATATGGAATTTGTAGACTTTTTTATGCCATCGCCGTTACAAGACCGCGGAACATTAACTGGCAAGATTGGAAATATGCAGCTTACGTCATTCCTATCTGTTACATTTTTTGTATAATCAAAACATTCCTCGATAGACAATGAAATGGGCGGGTACAATTCGACGCGGATGGCCGAGAAAACATTGGACAGTTTCTATCCACCTCAGCTACGCTATACGGCACATTATTCTGATTGACCCAGAAAACAAATAATTTCAATTTCGGTATAGTTTAAAAATTATAGGCCTTTCTTCATGTTCTTTATAAATAAGTATTTTTTGTCCAGCGTTTTAAAGAAATATATGAAGGGACAAATATTTGTTTTTTGTTTGGTATAATTTATGTATGTACTATGTGTGCGTTGGGGGGGGGGGGTTAATGATCTTGGAAATAAATAATAAATCATTTTTCATTGAAGACAATACTAACAAGCTCTTGTCATCCTAAAAATTAATTGGTACAAAGCATGATCTGACTCAACAATTTTTGACCCCCTCCCCTTTTAGAATCAAATGGGCTTCTCCTGAAAAAAAAAAAAACTTTTACCAGTGTCCTTAGATTATATCATAGTCTACATTAAAACTCATATCAATATACATTTCAACCAAGAAGTATTTGAGAATTGAAATTATTTGTCTTTTGGATCATACATTCACACTTTACTTTTGAAAACAGCTCAGAGGGATTAAAAATGAATTTCAAACTAGAATTTCAATCCAATGTTTTCTCGGCCGTCCGAGTGTGGTTAAACTAAAATCGAGGTATGTGTTTTAATTTACAATAAAATGTTGTATGACTTACCTCACACTCTTTACAGCGTGATCTTCTGCTGTTTGGAAACTTAAGTTTGAAATATTCATCTTCTGTGGAGTGAGACATCACTACATGTATCTAAATATGAAATCAAGCAATAAAGATTATAGTAAAACATGTTAATTATTAAAGGTTGTTAAACATTGTTAAACTAACGGATAATTATGTGAAAGGGACAAACGATTTTGCTTTGTTTAAAAAAAGTATATATATTTTTAAATTATCCGTTAGTTTAACAACGTGTTTAAAACTTTTAGGAATTAAAATCATTTTTGCTTAAAGACGTTAAGCGTCAACTCCTTATAAGTGTGTTTGGTAAATTGGTATATGTTTCACTGCATTCATGCCAGGTTTCATTCATTTTCACCTGACTATCTGTTTTCTGAGTAGTTCACTTAATAGCTAACGATACTACGATTTACGTGTTTCTGGTCAAATTCACTTCAACATTTTACAAAAACAACGATAGACAGCAAGATTTCCGAACTATTAACAAGTAGTAAGAGAATTCGATATTTGAGGATTTAGTTTAGGAGATAGCTGCAGGTCTGTAGCTCTCCGAAAAAATATATATTGATAGACCGGAGAGCTACAGTGCCACCCATTGAAAAAACTGTATATTTATTGCGCACAAAAAGTGCGATCGATACTTGATTAATTTTTCCAAATTCTTACCTCAATTGCAAAAAATGGAAGATTTCAAAAAATTACTCTCTCCTCTATCAAGTTCTCTCGTAGTTGACATCTTAACGAAGCATATTGGACCGAATTATCTTTAAAACCAAAATGGCAGTATAAATAAGCGAAATGTCCGATGATTGCAATGTCAAGGCCAGGAGGACTATTAACAACAAGTATGAGGAATGTTTTGTTGTGGAAAGAGTCAAAGAATATGTTAGGAACCCATGGTTAGTAATATTTTGAGATAAAAGCTTTATAAAAACATGGAGATAAATCGAGAACCGAGTGCATTTTTTTGTGCGCAATAAATATACAGTTTTTTCAATGGGTGGCTCTGTAGCTCTCCGGTCTATCAATGTATATTTTTTCGGAGAGCTACAGATCTGCAGCTATTTAGGAGACTGTCTGATTAAATAGTAATGATAAAAGACAGTGATTGATCTCAAAAAAGAATCTACAAACAATACATATCAATAAACAGTGCATACATATTCCTTTCAACAGTCTTAAATCTGTCTTATTTTCATGGTTTCGATATTTTTTAATGCATGTTTTCCTTTAAAATATCAACCTACAACATATGAGAGAATGCATATAAAATCTAGTCCAAGATTTATACATACAGAAAAGATATTTTTTTAATTAAGGTATGCCTTGTGTAACGAAATTATATTTCAAAAATTGTTGAAATGACGGAAATATATACTCAGAGAATTTTTTATAATGAAGTTAATCGCTTAAATGTCCGTTTATGTTAAAATCGTATCATTACCTTACTAATCCACACCACACCTTTCATATACTTTTTTTAATTCAGCATAACATTTCTCAACTTTTAGATATTGTACGTGTTAATGCATTCCGGGAAAATGTTATCCGTTTCCCGACTCGAGTCTTCGCCTTACAAGACGCGATCACTTTTTTTTTTTTTAAACGTGTGTTGTGATATCAAGAATAAAAACCAGGGATCACTTTGGGCTGCGCCTTTGCGCCATTGGCGCTCAATATTTGTAAATGGCGCACTAAAAAATTAGAAAGGGGTCAGCCTGGCGCATATCTTACAGATATGGCGCTATAAGATGCAAAACTGTGGGTCAAAGCTCTTATCTTGGTGCATTTTAGGACCGTTTTAAAGCTGACCGATTGTATTCATGACGTTTCTGAGCATACTGTTACTTCGTTCTATCAGACTCTTTGTAGTCGCGTATGTTGTTTACACCAGCAGAGCGTCTGGTTGATCAAGACTAAAATCGGAGTTGTACATGGAATATTTCCTTCGTTTAGATTACGCTACTAGATTTTTTTTTTACCGAATACTGAATCAATTACATTTATTAAAATTATATGAAATGATTTAAATAATAAACATATGAAAGTAATACACCAGTAAGTAATACTTAGTATGTCCTAATAATATTTCTTATAACTTTGATTATTTATTTCGAAACAAAAGAAGTACAAGTTACTCATTGTGTATCCAAACACTTGCCCGAAATGCCGAAATGCCTCCAAAGCGAGGATCGGTATTGGGCCCAACTGACCCAAAACAACGAAAGCTTTCGTTTGTTTTACAAATAAAACGACGGAAACTTTATAACTCCCAGACTCGGCAGAGGTCTCTGATTAAGAAGACTCCTGATGTCAACGGCAACGATGGTCGTCTATTTCCAGTCCAAGGGGCTAACTTTGCATCCGTGGTTGGAATTTGATCAGATGGGACTAATATTGTGTTGCAAACAAATAAAAATTTTCTCATTTAAGTTTTTTGCCTATTTTGCTCCGAGTTCTTTGCATACAAAACCAGTCCCTACCGTTTGAACCAAATTTAATTTGCAACAGTCCCAGGTATATTCAATAGATAATGTGCATGTAAGTTTGCATCCTTTATAGTTTAGCTCTACAACAACCTTCGAGAACTAAATCGATAAAATCCAAGAGGCGAGGAATTAACTCTCCAATATGACATTTTTCAGTACTGAGATGAAATAAAAAAAAAATCTTTTATATTTATAATATTATTCATTTTATTTAAAAAAAATTAAATTGGTTGTTTCAAAGGAATCAGGACAACTCGCCCCCAAGACAACTCGCCCCCAACACTTGTTAAGACAACTCGCCCCCAATTTAGGACAACTCGCCCCCACTCAGGACAGCTCGCCCCCACTGTAGAGACAACTCGCCCCCATTATATTTTATTGTGTACTGCAAGGAAAAAAAACATATATTATTCAATAAAATATATTTTAAATGCAAGATTAATCTGTGATTTATAATTGATATTTTTTATAGGTAAAATAAAATTAATATTTACGATTGTGTGTGTAATATGTTGTTATTTGTTTGGGTTTTTTTTCATATATATTTATTGAACACAGTATATGTATAAAATATTTATTATTTCCTTAGACTTTTTTCTTATGAGATAAAGCAAATAAATGCGTTTTAATTTTTCATACTGTTTTAAATTTATATCTGTAGAATATGTCTAGGTAAATCAAGTACAATATTCTAAGTTGAACAATCTTAATTATTTAATGACATATTAATGATATTCCATTGACGACGGCTTTTAGGGAACTTATGAAAACTGAAATGAAAACAGCAGACAGAATTTTAATGAAATCCCCAAGCTCACAAGTAATTTGGAACTTCAAAGTGATGATCAATTAGGACAACCAAGCCCCGAAAATTCAGTATATTTAGTTGTTAAAAAATTGGCTTGTCCAAGCTCCAAAGCATAATTAAAGTAATGAAGAATTAGAGCATGCAAGCCTCGAAAATTACATATATACAGTAAGTTGATAAAAAAAATTGGTGTATCCAAGCTCCGAAGCAACTTAAAACTTTAAAGTGATGAAGAATTCAAGAAAGCTTGCGTTGGAAACAAATAATTTGACATGGTCCCTATATAAGGAAGAAATGACTGGAATCTGTCATCTGTAATAAAATAATTAAGTAGAAAAAATATATTTAATATTATATAAAAAATAAACATTTTCATAAAAAATTATATTAATCGTATCTTCTCCTTTTTAAAGCGCAATGTTATATAGGCATAATGACCGCATAAATGCAAATATTGATGAATTTAATCTAAAACATATTTCTGTTTCAGGCACCTCACGTGAGAAGAGGAGTACACTTTTTGAGCGTAACTAACGCCAGAAACACTTAAAATAAAAATAAATATCGAAATAATATAAAAATATATATATTTAATAACAAATATATACATTTATATAAAAAATATCGCCCCCAA